TTGGTATCGGTTCATGGTATCGGTTAACTTTTACGAGTATGAGTACACACACATTTTACAGTATCGGCCCCGATACCAGTATCGGTATCGGTGCATCCCTATTCAAAGCTGCATAAATGCACAAACAACACAAACAACTCGCCTCCTCAGACCTACACATATTTGAGATCATAGTGGCTGCTGTCCAGACATTAAAGGGTTAAGCTTAAAGGTGAAACTGCTGTAGCTACTCATGTCGTACGTTACTGCCTTTAAGTACAAGACGTGTTTAGAGCCAAACGGTATCCAGAGAATTGTAGGTCAGGCTAAGCAATCAAACAAAAGTGGTTATCAACTCAATAGGTCAACCCAGAGTTTCCCAACATATCAGTGAGCATGTTCACATGAAAGGGTTGGTGTTGGAAGCATCGCACCAGTGCGACTGATGGACTGGGAGCAGAGCAGCAGATTTTAAAAAGAAAGATAAAACTATGATATTAAAAATAAACAAAGAAGAGTCATGGTGATGTTTAAGGGTCTAAAAGTAAGAATAATTACATAATTTCCTTAGGGAATGAATAAATAAAAACTTGGATTGTAACACTATTTTCTAGAGGATTTATTGATTATGTAATATCTGTCAATCTATTGAACATAACCTGCTCTGGACTAAGTTATACCGATACGTAATATCGGATCGGTCCATCTCTAGTTATGATGTTCTTAAAAAATATCAAATATAAAATATGATTCATCAGAAAAAAGCCTCTATGTCCTGCTCGCAGTAAAAGTTAACTACACTTCTGTTTACTTTTCTGTGACACTCAAATAAAACATTACAGAAGTTCATCAGCAAGAACTGATGGTGAATGAAACATTCCCAATGAAAAAGCAAACGAATACCTACAATCAAGGTGTCAAAATGCAGTTTTTGGGGAAACATGAATGTATTCAAACATCTGAAAGGCTCTGCAGTAACACTCACACATGTCTTTGTCTTTGATTATGCTGCAGAAGTACTGTGGATTCTCTACGAAGCTAGACAAGCCAGAGTCTTCATCGGAGGAAGGCGGGCTGGTACCAAAATTCATGAAGCGCAGTGACACGGCCAGGTCATCCTCCTTCCCCAGAACTGATGATCCTAATGAAACGGAGCAAAGCCAATAAAAATGAGAGAAATGAGACCTAATCAGTCTCCAACCATCTGTGATTGCAGCAGCCATCAAAAGAAGCAATTCAGAACCCATTTTTCCTTTCGAGGAACTGGCATTCACTATTACTAACTTGGATGCACATTTGTTGGTACCATGGTGACAGATGATGACAAGCTCTAATAATCACCATCATCAACCATGCAGCAATCAGGCCACACTGAAGTGAAAAAATATGACCATACAGGAAGC